GACGATGGAGAGCTCCAATCGGTGAGTTAGTCGTCATTTCTGTCTACCACACCAACAGGAACCTGTCGATTTACCCCGAAGAGGTCCAGGGATGTTTAAGACCACAGTGGCGTTTGGCCTCATAGACACCGCAGCTCACCGTTGGCGGTAATTTTGGGGGTGAAGTTGGGGTGAGAGTTGAAATCGATCAGAGGGAGGTGGCACTGTTACTTTTTGGAGAGTCGCATCAAGGCCCCTGCTAGGTGGCTCAGTCCCTCGACGCCAGGGTGAATAACGGTCGAGGATCTTCGACCATGGCTCTGTACTGTGCGAGAGTAGTGTCGAGAGTGAATGTACGCGCGGAGAGCACAGACGGCTCGCGCGTGGCGAGAGTGAATGTCCGCGCGGGAGAGCGTGATTGAAAATCCTTGGCGAGATGTCGACGATGGGTGTTCCTCAGCGAAGGGTATGCCCTAGCGGGCCCGTACTCGCGCCGCTTACGCCGCTGCACGCCCAACGATGGCCGACCCCTCGCCGTCTGCCTCCTACCGCGCTAGCAGGGGAAGCGTTAGCGTTGAAAAGGGCTGCTCCGTTGAGAAAGCGAATTAATGGGTAAAGGAAGGGTCTCATTTTTCGGGTTGCAGGCCGCGTTTCTTGATCTATCCCTGATTTTCCTGATTGGTTTTCCTCATCCCTACGGCACTGATCATCTCTACCTTGATTTCTATTGAGTTGCCTTTTTATGGTCAACTCCGTCTCCAATGGGCTATCACGAGAGCAGAACCAACTTTCAATAGTGCCATATTTCTTGTTTGGTGCTGCATTGTCCCTTCAATAGCAGCGATCAAGGTCTCTTTCGAATTATGTAGCTATCAAATAACTTACAATTTTCGCTTTCATCGAAATGAGTTCCTCAACGCCGCCTTGACCGACTTCGTCAGAGAGAATCGCTCGGCACGTTGACTGTACGCGAAGTGAGGCTCGCGACTTGTCGCGTAAATTTCTAAAAAATTCATGATCACGAACGGGAATAACAAATCTAATTTTATACATACCTCCCCTTCAAAAAGCGAGAAAGTGTCGGTGCAGACCATACACCACAAGTGACGACGGCCTCCAAGTAAATCTGGTTAGTAGTGGTTCATAGTGATAGCTGATTTTTGGTAAATGATAGTTGTAATTAGTGACAACTGATAGAATACAACTGCAACAGGCTAATCATTTCATTGGCAGAAAACATTTGCATTTTGTGGAGGCCGTCGTCACTTGTGGTGTATGGTCTGCACCCGACACTTTCTGGCTTTTTGAAGGGGAGTATGCTCGAATAACTGATCGTATAGGACCTTCCGCTTCATCATATTCGGGAGAAAAATTATTCCAACGATACTACACTAACCTGTAGAAGTCAGTGAGCTCTCGCATAACAGCATTAGCATCTCCTTTGATTGAAAGAGGCGTATTAATGAGAGCTGGGCTTGTCACTTGTCAACCAGATTTGCTCCGCAACAGGCATGTGTTTCGATACCTATAAGATAGTTATGCTCAAAGACGCTTTCGCGATAAGCTGAGACGCCTTGGTATGTGGAAGCATAAGATCTTGTGAGTGAGACTCAGGAAAAACGGTGAAACTGTCAGAGAACCCGAGATTAATGAGCCCTTCCGTATTTTGGTGGCGGGTCGGGTTTCCGAGCTAACATAGACGGTTAGGACGAAGTTTGAACACTGGATTACTGTCAGAAACATGCGCTGTTCACTACTCCCACTTACCGGCAATGAGCGCGCCCAAGGACTCTGACTGGGCCGATGGTCCACGGCTGCCTACGCTGAAGCCGACCGTCAGAAGCCCTGAGATCGAGACGTGGTCAAGCAAACTGAGGCCGTATGCGGCGAGCCCCGAAGGTCGCCGGGGATGTATCCCTTCCGGGGCTTGCTGCATACGGCCCCTGGTGTCCAATATGATGATCCTTTTCGAGCGCCCACACCGATCCAACACCCGAAACTTTTTGTTTTGTGAGAATGGAAACAAATTATCAATCCTGAGTGTTGGTAGCAGGCGAACGTTGAGGGAAGTTTAGGGTGCCAGAAAAAGTTCTGATAGCAATTGTGGCGGATAAGTGGTGGGCTTGAACTCTCAACCACTGCACAACAATTCTGCAAGCTATTTGCAAGTTGGGGCTTTCCGGCTTTTCTCATACAGTTTAAGAGCACAAAGCAATTGAACGGGAATTTACGATGAAAAGAAATCCCATTGGAAATTATGGTCAATGAAGCATGAAAGAAGAAAAACCAAGAATCATCAAATGGCCAAGAGCCTAAAAATGGGATCTCTTCCTTGCCCGTTGAATTCCCCCCTTTGAATGCGGCTCTCATGCGGCCACCTTTTTTTGAATCAACATTGAATAACGTCTTTGCCCTAATACAAAAAGCAGACAATGCAACAGCATAAACAAAAAGATACAATAATTCAATTAAATGATCAAGCAAGAAAAACACTCAAAAGACGCAGCATTAACTTCGGAACGCGGATATAGTTACAAGCAATCGCGCAAGGACCGCCTCCAAGCACGCACTATCCACGGCTGCAAGCGGACGTCGCTCGATATATCTTTAAGCTCTCGTCTTACTTCAAAAGCATTTCATTCCCTTCTAGCAACTCCACTCCAAAGTGAGTTTTTAGTCACTGATAACTTCGTATAATTTCGGCTATTGCGCAATGTTTAAGCCACGAGTCAGGATTAGGTGACCATAGAAGGCCTTTCCATCACTAATATTTCCAGGAATGCGCTCAGAGGGGTGATGCCACACTCCTGACTCGAGATTGCGCGCCGTCAAGGCCTTCTGGCCTACTACTTACAGCGATGGGTTTGTTACATCAGCTGGTCCCGCCCACCGCGGGATGTGGTGCGTGGCTGGCCTAACGTGTGAGATCAGCTAGGTTGATTGCCGTATCAACCGATGGAACGGCTGGCATATCCGGAAAACTCGTTTGGACGTGGCTCTCCCCCGAGCAAGCCTCCTTCACTGCTAGAAGGAAAGGGGTTTTCGATTTCGGTCTTGTCGACGGTTTCTTTGCGTTTTTTCTTCACTGTCGTTCCACCTCCCATCTCTACACTCAATTTCAGGCGCCATAATGCCCAAACACGAGCCTGACTTTTGCCTTTAATGCTAGTGCTCTCTGTGCTAACCGCTAGAAGCACGGACAGCTAGGAGGCATACCCTTCGATGCGATTTGCGTGTCCGTCCGCACCCTGAGCTCCGCCTGTCTCTCCATCAGGTAATTTCCCCTTATTCGACCTTCGTTCTTATTCGTAAAATATCCCCTTAACGCAGAAGCGGACTTTTCAGTAACTCTGTGCAGACCGGTTCTGCCGAACCGTTCATTAAATCTTTTTCAACGACCGATATCCTACCATCAAACTTACCAGGCGTGGAGTTCGCGTTATCACTGAAAAATATTTTTCGATCATTAATCCACACACTGAAATTCTTGTGGATCCCGGACCAAGCATCTTGTTGATACCGCGACCTGCTTCCGCTCCTTTCCGGATTTTGAGTCGATATATGTAAATCGTTCAAATTCGTTTTTTTGAATATGTTGCTTTCAAAGCTTTGGGAAACTGGACACGGATTTGAGGAACGAAAAATAGCAAAAATTTTTAAGCCAGACGTTACGGAAGGCGCGTCCCAAAGCGGTATATGGAATTGTAGCAGCGTTATTGAAATCCGTCGAGAGAAGGGATTCAAAGCTGAGGAATCCAGAACGCAAAACATCCTGAGGACTATTATATGTATAACACCATGCCAAACAAGGTTCCTGAAGAGCTATAGCGAGATGCCACTACTTAATACTATTGCTCCATATTACTCTCTATTTCATGTGGCGAAACTGAGGTCAATCGTTAGTCCCTCGCTGTTTGATCGCCTCTTAATACCTTCACAACTTCGACGAAAATATTTACACAACGTCGAACATTTGTCGAGTGCTGAAAATATTCTGGTTTAGGGCAGTAGTCGGATTAGCCAGACCCTCCCCCTCCCTTATTTAGAACATTTGTTGTCTTATACCACCGTAACGCACCTACATTAATGAGCGGAGGTTCTATCGATGTTAAAGAAATACCAGCTGGATTGAACTGGAGTCTTTCTTGCACACGAAAGTGAAAGCATTGATGCCAGCGACCGGCAGTGATCAAAAGAGGAAAAAAGTCTGTTTAAAACGGTGAAGTTAAGGGCTTGTGCACTTTTGTGCTAGGACTAATGGGAGCCGAGAAGGAAGAGCAAGAAGGAGAAGATGAAAGCGCAGATGCCAGCCTGCTGCCAGAATGGAAGCTGTCGAAGGGCTCATGGGAAGGACCTAGCGCTCTCGCAGCGCACTTTACAGCAGCGAAAACGGGCCCTTTTTGACCGCAGTGGAAGCGCTATCCTGCCCACCAAAAAGGCTCATCTAAAATAATCCTAGATTGTGCCCAGAATTGCTTCAGTAAAAAATTGAAAAATTCACATATATATTGGATATAATCATTGCACCTTGCACCAAAAATGCCAAGTGGGATTTATTATCAGTATATTTGAAGGTTCTTTCGCAGTTCTCTCTTTTCGTGGTGTCCCACACACTTCCGAATTTGAGGAGGAATCCACGATAAGAACGAAGGTCAAAGAAGGAGAAAATTGCATATTTGGAAGACAGGCGGACCTCCTGAGGGTGCTGACCGACGCGCAATTGGCAGCGAAAGATTTGACCTCGGCGATCTAGCATGGCTCACTCTTGGCGCGGTTGGCGGGGTACGCCCACCGACTATCTAATCACTCGCCGCAGGTCTATACGTGGCGAGTGATTAGATAGCAGAGAGAGCGTAGTGTTGAAGAGGGCACAGCGATGAGAGTCGCATCAATGCTCAAATCAACGGGCAACATTGCCGAGAAGCCCACCTCCGACTCAGAATGAATATTCGAGGAGTTTTGTTGAGTCATTCACTAGTCTACATAGATCTACATCATAGACATTATCTTTGACCATTTGTCTACTACGCAATGACGTACCTTACTCGAGCCTTTTTGAGGTTGCAATCGGTCCATTGGTGGTGTTGCACCGGAACGTACACGCTAAAAACAAGAATTAGTGATCACACAAGACCGTGGGAATCGATATTCGATCAAATGAAAGTAATGTTCCAAAGGTGAGTCCCACCATTTATGAGACCCAGGCAAAACCTTTTATGACCGAGAATCGCCTTTTCTTCTCTCCAGATTGATTAACTGTCACCGGTTTATCTACCATCACTGATCAGTACAGCCATGGAAATCATTATAGAGGTGAAACTTCAAATGCCTAATGATTTTGCAAGAGTTCAAAATACGTGGCGCATCCAGTAACAACTCTTCAGCTCCCAATGTTTTTTCTTTTATTTTTGCAGTGAACACGTGAAGAGAGCAGCCCTGTTCTCAGCTAATGCCTCAGGTGTCGTGTGTGCTATAACTCGAAAAATAAAGCGACCGGCGTTGACCAACCCTTTTTTGGGATAAGCCGCGCATTCCACCTCTATTCAAAGACTTGATATCATAAGGATTCTGATTAGTTTCAAAAGCTCATTATCCGTGCTGAGACTCGAACTCAAATTTGGTGCTTTTCAGCCCTCGTGTTTATAATTGCGTTGGACTTGAAGTTAACCAAATGGCTGACTTTCCACTCTGTAAGAGCAGATTTTCTTATGATTTCTGACGGTAACCACCTGTGGCAAAGGATTATGCCATACATTACATTCAAGTATTAGATTCAGGTTTCCTTATCTTCAACTCTGGGACGGTTGTTAAGTCAAGGAAATATAGGTGAGTCATTTATGGTGCATCGAACTTGAGGTTTTTCCAACTCATGATTCAGCAGTCTTCTTGAATGAATGGACGGCAATTTTCTCGAGAGCGAAGACGTTTGACATTCTACATTCATTTCCGTTCTTTATCTGACATAAGCAGAGATATGGGCCGTGATCTGGAAAAGGTTTTTGCACGGGAACCGCCAACTGCCGGCCGTTTTTGATAGCGAAGTCATCGTTGACAAGAAACCCACCGTCCCAGGAGAAGGTATACGAATGGAATGGAGCCAAGGAAAAAAATCAAAATTGGACAGAACTTTGCCTTCAAGTGCAGCTTGCTTGAACTGTACCGCCAGCACCTACGGCGAGCAATGCGAATTGTGAGCGTTCGTTTAATTCTGCTGTTAAATTTTGACCCTCTCGGACCTGGCGATGGCAATAATGTATTGGGTTGGAGCATAATATCGTAGCGTTTTTCTTTTCGAGCTACGAATTCAGTGAATACAAGTATTACCCAGGAAATCACATATATCATTTGAAAGTACTTCTTCTGCTCTACAATACCATGTTTGGCATTTTCTTCTATACTGTAAGTGTACTCAGATATGGCGC